TTTTATTTTTTATAATTAGGGTTTTTAATATTTTTTATTTTTTTTTAATTAGGTATTGAGCAGATCTCTTGGCCATTGCCTTTTTAACCTTCTAAGAATGATTGAGATAGACGATAAACTTTTAATTATGGGGTTTGAATGAGTGCGGAGCGTTGAGTGGAATTTTGAGTAATAKGATTKGGCTAAGTCGTTTAGGGTTGGTATGTTCAGGTCTTTATGTAGATTTTTATTGGTAACATACCAAGGGGCAGAGGTTATTAGCCGTAGGCATATGGATTGGAATGCTTGGAGGGTTTTAGTAGTGATAACTTATAATGAAAATTGGTATAATTTTTTAGAAAATTGTGTACACAAAAAAACAATTATAATTAAATTATGAAAAAAAAAATTAAAAGGTGGGGAACTGTCGCCCGCAGGCAATTGTTTTTCAATAGTCAAAAATATAATTTGAAAACAACTATAATATAAGTATATACATTATACAATTGCAGACTCCAGTATGTAATTCCAAGAAAATAAATGGCATTTACTCTTGAGAACAATAAGTTCATAACAATAGAACAAATTTTGATCAGAGGATTCAATATTTACTGTAATTAACAGTTGTTAATTGTTATGAAATACTGGTATAACACTAATATGGCGCTAAAATCGTGTTAAAAATTACGAAAATATTAACCATATGGTATAACTAATATTAAAAATTTTGTTTTCAAGTTTTAATTATTTAATTATAAAAGTTTAATAAAAAGTATACGCTATTTAATATGATATTAAGTAGGTATGCTATCAATATTTTCCTCGTTAATTTTTAAATATTTTCTTTCATTGTTATGTTTACAATGTCGAATACTCGAATACCTTGTTAGTTAGTAGGAAAAAATCAATGCAAAAGTCACTACCAGTGATGATAGTCTTCTATCATCAACTGAGCTTAACTTACCATTGGCTATAGGTACCTATAACCTAAACAGACCTCCTTATGACTTAATTAACCATCTGCATGTCCGCGGGGAAGGCTGTGCCGTAGCCAGGGTTAGGATTTAGGGAGGGGAAATGTGTATACAGTATACACCCAATACCCCTCGGCGCGGAAGGCTAACTACGACACTGGGTTTAATAAGTATCAATCTAAATGATTGTAGAAAAATAAATAGTATTTGTGTAACGCGCGACATACGGATGGTTAACTAGGACACTTTGAATAAAAAGATCCTTAGTTGGTTTCCGATAWAAGTGTTTACTTATCAAGTTGTTCTATTGATTGTTAACCTCTTAGAAACACCTTTAATTATAAAGATATATGGGCCTCTTGAAATAGTTTTCGCCCTACTAGATTTTTAGGACTTCGGTGCCACTTGCTCTTTGATAATATCTACGTATATTATGAATAGAGCCATGCCCAACTTTTTGGTGTATATAATTTTAAGCACATATCTATCAGACAAGTGTCTGGTCGTAATGAGTGCATAAATACGTATACTTGAAGTGTAATGAATATAGGCTCACCCATAGTACATATTATTATCAAGGTCTGATCAAAAAATATGATCTGAACTCGGAAGTATGATTGGACGTAAATTGTAGAAGTGATAACTAATAAGTATTAAAGATTTATGTGTTTGTATTGTCTCCGACTTACAAAAGTCCTGTTGAAGAGAATTTACCTATTATTATTAAAAAATTATCAACTTATTGGTAATTGCTGAGCATATATTTTTTATATAGTCTTGCACTTGTATGAATATAACTGAATACTTGGACAAGTGAGACATCCTCATTAAAGCTAAACAACTTTTGTAATATGATTATATAAATGGGGTAATATCTAAATTATGTCCCCTTTCAACACACTAAAATTATAGTTATTATACTTTTCTGACCCCAAAAACTTCATGTGGCATCATGATAATTTATTTTTAATTTTTATATGGTAACTTAAATAAACGACCCTCGACACCAGAAGCTGAATTATTACGATTTTGAATATTGTTTAAGTGAAATGTTCTATAACAATGTTTACAAAATTTTTTCTCCTATAAAATATTATTTTTTATTATTTCAACATAACATTTTGCTGTATGATATGTAATCTTTACATTGCAATGTCCGTATTTTTTTATATGGTAATAAAGACCAAAGTGTCTAGAAGAAAATTTAGTCATCTAAAATTATTTAAATTGCAGACTTATTGTTAAATATTATTGATAAGTTATAATCTATGAACTATAATATCTTATATAGACTTAAACAATGTACTATTGGATCCGTATTATTTTTTTAAATTACATAATAGATTTTTTTTTTAACAAAACCATCATCAATTATAGCCATAATTACATCATGTGTTTTTTTTAGAAACACGTGACCATATGGGGCAAGGATTCGTCACTAAGAACCCAGGTGGTCACCCATCCAGGAGCTACTGACGTCAGACGATGTTAGACCACGGCAAACCATCGCGCCACACCAGGCCCCAAAATACACTTTTGTGTATTCTAAATATAAATGTTATTTTTTGTATTCTTATATTAGTATATGACTAGTGTGTACTGCATATACCTACCAGGCCAATGGCAATTTTTTTCAAATGATCAATACTGTTTAACTTGATATTATTGTTTGGTTTCACATTATGTAAATAGGACGAGGATTCGTCACTAAGAACCTAGGTGGTCAYCCATCCAGGAGCTAGCGACGCCGGTCGATGAATTGACTTCAGATATCAGAACAAGTGACTTCGGCCAACCACCGTACCACACCTGCAGGTCCCAAATTTACTTTTTAAACACATATAAACCATAACCTTATCTATTATATGAGATAATTAGTACTTGTACGTCTATTTTTCATCAAGTTCAAGAATGTTTTTTTGTTAATTTAGTTAATAATAACAACACGTGTGTCACTTAAAATATTGAATAGGTAATAAATACATACATGAAAAACAATACATTTTTTTAAATGTCTAAACAACATTACATGTAATGACCAAAATCATGCTTTTTACAAGACTGTGATAATATACCTAAACAATTAACAATCAAGAGATTTTTCAACTTGATAACACTTAAGTCTGTCAGTGCATTTCTTTTTTCTCCCTCTGACCCACGCACAAAATACATTCACTATAATCATAATATTTTTATATTATTGTAAACAAAAAATGCACGAGTCGGAGAGAAAAAATTGCACTGATATCCTCTTAATCGGCCTAACCAACCTTCTCTTTTTATTCTATCCTATAAGTCGAAGGATGTAAACCTTACCTAATCTGGTAGTTTCACTCAATGGGTCGAGTGACCTTTGCAATTCAAGATCCTTTCCTACGTATTCGAAATTGTAAACATAACTATTCTACCTAACTATTCCCCTTCCCCACCCTAACCTAATCCTCTACCACTAACACCCTCCCTCTCAACTATCTCTCTCACTATCTCCCCCACAACCACTCCCTCTCAATCACCATATCAATCTCTTACTCGCCCTCTCACTCTTTCTTTCTCGCTTTTTTTCTGCTTCTCTCCCACCTCTTTACACCACTTCTACCTCACTCTCTACCTGTCTCTCTGTTCCCCCTTTCACCCTATCATACACTACCCTCTCACTCACTCCCCACTCTCACACTCCCAGTCACTATAGTACCTACAGGTCATCATACCTGATAATTGGTGAAAATATTTAAATATCATTGAGGAAATTACTAAAAAAAATTTTTTTTTTAATATTATACCAGACCAATTTCTTAATTTTGATCATGATTTTGTTGATAGCCTGAATAGTGTTTTACCAGTGGTTACAAAACAATTAATTTAAAATGTCAGGCAATTTATCCCCTGATCAGTTAATTAATTAACAATATAAAAAAAACCTACTGAAAAATAGAAAATGACTTGCCCCATCCCATATTTGGATCTACTTTAAAACTTCATCTCCAAAACATTATGTTAACTCATTTCACACAGGCTACACAACGAATATGATATTTATAGTTGACATATTTTCACTGACGAATATCATCTCTGAAATTTCAATAAAAATGTTCAAACAATATTTTATGACCTATTCAGTTTTAACCATTACAGATAATAGATAGTTAAACAACCCGTTAACTGTTTGATTTTTATTGTATCTAACCAGTTATAATGCGTTTTAAATATTTTATTCAAGAACCTTTTAATTTTATATGAATATAAAGATATAACATTTCTTCATTAGCGATGACAAGTTACCTACTGGCAGCCAGTAACTGGCTACTAAAACTCTGGTACTGGTTCATTTTTATTTTAATAGTTTTTTATACAAAGTTTAATTATACGCGCTTGGTATAGTTTGTTTATTTATTTTATTTCAATAATTCATGAATATTATAATTATTATTTTATATTAATTTTTGAAATATTGTTTAAATCCAATGATATATAATATTTTACTAAAACTTTTCATACCAAAGAGGTTCATGTGTATKAATATTGTTCACTGAAATAATTAAATGTGATATAACAATAACCAAAAAAGTTTGTAATTTTAAATTTCAATTATAACAATATAATATATTATTTTAATATTATTTTTCTTGTTTATTTGTTTGGTTATTGATGAAGATAATGCTTTTTTACGCATTACAGATAATATATATCTAAAATAACCCGATTGGCGATTAATGTTTAATTTTTATCTTTCCTACCTAGTTATAATGTGTTAATATTTTATGTTTTAAATATTTTATTCAAGACCTTATTAGCTTT